TAAAACTACTCGAAACATTGTTGATTTTGCCGATAATCATTCCGACAGTTCAATACGTACCGAGTTGGATCAAGGCGAGATGTTTGAAAATCTAATGGATATTGTAGATTTGAATACTGACTGCAATGGAAAAAGCAGAAGGGTTGCTGAGCAGATCATTGGAATGTGTTTTCAGCATCGGGTTCAGACTGCTAGTTCGAGCATTCAGTCATACAACGACAATGCCGAAATTGATATGAGTTCTGGAATGGCCGGAGATACACATGGGGAGGTACGCACACTTGTCGAAATGCGGTATATCCAGTATCTGCAATCTATACTTTGCAAACCCATGTGGTGGATCGATATCACAAACCAGCATATTGTGGAGCAATGGAGGGCTGACTCACTCGATCAGAATATATCACCATCAACATTTAATCTTGCATTGGAACAACTCAGGGTTTTTGTCAAACAGCTTGTTTGTAGTGGCAGTGATGGATTGGGCACGATTGTACCAGGACCTGTTGAACTGACGTATATACTGGACAATGGCATACCTGACAATGTATATACGCGATTGATGACAAATGTATCGGATATTGAACATGGATCAAATCACAACACTGGTCAAATGGTGCACAATCTGATTGATGCATCAATGTACAGTGTTGTATATGGACAAACGATGATTGCACCACTGGATATACGATTCAAATACACCACAATGGTACCATGCGATATATTGTTATCGACTCGACTTGTTTCAAATGTGCCCATCATTGACGGCGATTTCGAGTTTATATCACGCAAGTTCCAATGGCTTCCGAGTGAATTCCGTGTCGAACAGGATGGCAGTGTGACCATCAACTCATACATCAACAATCTGAATCCGATATGGCATCGAGACATGTACAAATGTATTGCCAAAATATTCAAATGTTTTGTCCCAATGTTTGAAAGTCTGTTCAGAACGATGGATCCAATGTTCAAGTATATTGATATTTGCAATCGCACAAAGGGATATAAACCACCAAGCCAGTCAGATCATGATGATATGGAATCAGACACTCGAGTCACTCGTCCCGTGTATGTACCAACACTTCCGGAACATTTTGAATCCAAATATGAATCGGCAAAGCCAGTGTCACTGCGTGGTCGTAATCTGCAAGTCATTGTCAAACTCACCAACATTCAACTGACACCATCCAAACCTAAATACGACAAGGGAAACTGGCACATTGAAGGTCCAATTAACGAATCGATTGTTGCAACTGGACTGTATTACTACGACGTGGAAAATATCACCACACCCAAACTCGATTTCCGCGAGGCTGTTAGTTGGTGTCATTATCAAGGAGCATCTGATATGTATTGGAAAGATGTGTATGGCATTGATCAAGAATCACCGCATAGTCAGTATATAGGATCGCTTGAAGTACCAAATGGTCGATGTGCAGTTTATCCCAATCTATACCAACACAAGGAACAATCATTTGAACTTGCAGATCCAACTCAACCAGGACACTGCAAGATTCTGACATTTTTTGTAGTGAATCCATCTCGTCGGATTGTTTCGACTGCGCATGTGGCTCCACAACAACCACAATGGTACAACTCGAGTCTTGACAAGACACCCATACTGCCTGAACTGTGGAATGATGCCACGCAGTATATTCAAGGTGTTCAATCACCAGCTAAAGCCAAACACTATCGAGATGAATTGACAAGCGACCGAACTCGAATCACAGCAGCATACAACAAAAAACTATATGAGCGAAAGTATAGTGATTGGTGATTGATTGTGAGATTGTGATTTTACAGCAATGAGTTGCAATGTCAGTCGGATCGAATAAATTGAATGAATTGAATCAATCATGTTAATCATGCCAATCATGACAGTGATTGTTGATTATATTGACTGATTGTGTACAATTGATTGATACAAGTGATATGGATGCATCATTCGGTGTTGTTGAATCAGATCATTGCTTGATTCTGTCAATGTGATCAAATGGATTACTACAAAACTGTACATGCTCAAGTTGAATCAAGTATTGAATCGAGTATTGGATTGATGTTTACACACAACCACAATTACAACCACAATTGCAATCAGCACAGTCTGAATATTAGACATTTGAATCTCACGTATCGAGTCGTGTGTTGGAATATCCAGACGGATACTCCTAAGTGGTAATCTGTGACAAAGCTAATTCTAATAGCACACACTTTGAATCTCCAAATTAAACCCTTCATCACCACTAATCCATATGCTCCAAACTCCATTATCCTCATTTCTGGAGATTCATGTTCCAAGTAACGAGTAAATGGTGTCATTATGTAGACATAGTCAACTACAGGAATCAATCCCATTGGCTCAACTACTTTTCGTTTACAACCTCTCATTATCAAATGTGTTACTTGTTCGTATCACAAGACAAACAATCAACTACTATAAAAGCTAATATGCTTACTTTTATCAATAAACAACTCGTCAAACTATTTCAACTTTCTAATTACTTTATTACACCTTTTTACTATACTTGAAAAGACCAAGTCTGCTGATCTTGGATTAAAGTGCAACATCCATTACACTTTTGATTTGTTCTCTTCTGATAACTAACAGTTACAGATTATATTTTATCTAATTTATATTTTATACTTTACTACATTTATACAAATCACGAAGCTCCAAAAGTTCTGACATATTGTGACCATGCCGGGTTGGAAGCAGCACTGACCAACAAGTGCTGCCTGTTGATCACCAAGATCCTAAAAATCAAAACCATTAGCAGATATATTAGAACATTCTTTTATAAATCATGGCATTTGAATAATAGCAGATTTTAAACTTACGCCAGCAATCGGAATTCCCATCAACGGTCCATCAGCAATCAAGCCATAGACTTCCGATGACGATTTAACTGCTGGTAACGAGCATTTGTTCATGCCAAAAAAACTATATACATATTGAGATACTGGCAACTCACAAAAACAACTAAAGAGTATCAACCGATGTCACTTACGAAAGCATTCCGTCATCCCAGTCAAGACTCTTCAGATTAAGTAGCATAGTACGACTGGCATTGGTCACGTCAGTCACATGTATACCGCCTTGGACACCACCAGTGAGACGCTGTAGATAAAAGTGGAACGAAATGAATTAGCATTTTCTACAGTTCACTATTATAAATGACACCGTAAACCCAAAACCTTGAAATCTACAGCTAATACTCACATAAATTAGCCACGAATCAATTGTGCCAAACATGAGACGGTCCGTTTGATTGGCATCTTGAACAGCTTTAATATTATCCAGTAGCCATCGCAGCTTGACAGCGCTAAAATAAGTAGACAGTGGGAGACCACAGATTGACTGGAAATGATGTTTGGATTTTGACGGGGTTGCAGCAATCAATCTTTCCACAGTATCCTGAGTACGAGTATCAAGCCAAACTGGAATATGGGTTAATTCAAGCCATTTGCAAGAATGATATCAGCCAGTTTGATGGAATGATGGGTGTCAATTTACT